CCTGTGTGTGTCCTCTGGTGTGCAGTAACATCTGACATATCACTGAAACCTTGTCCACACCCTCCATAGTTGGCTTTTGCAATTCTTGAGATTCCTACCCCCACAAATAATTTGCCCGTGTCCACTGGATTCACTCTCTGGCCTGTTCTGGACTCTTCTTCCATCATTCTTTCTTCCACTCTAGAGCTCCCCATTTGTCCTTTGGGTGGCTTGGAAAAGGCCCTTGAAATCTCCCTCTGCCATGTCCCTGTATTCAAGAGTGTGGACCTTTCTTTGATCTCTTGACCTTTGGTTTTGTCATTAGAGTTGCATGGATCAAAATATTGCTGCTCCTCTTTCTGTTTCCCCCGGCAGGGATTCTCTGGTTGGAGGAGTTTTCTTGTAGATGTTCCTGGGAAGTTCTGAGAGGAATGATTGCGTTCCACATGATGACTGAGAAATTTCTGACTTGAGAAGGCCAGACAGCATGACGGACAGGGATGAATCTCTGGCTTTGGTTCTGAAAGAGGAAGTTTTTGGTCAGAGTAGATGTTTTGGTCAGGCCTTACAACATATGAAGTCATGAAGATCAAATGAAGAGCCAATCATTCTTCATATGTTAACAGTGCAAGCTCGCTCCCATCAAGTGCTGGATGGACCTTTACAGTCCATTTTTTCATTCCACTTATATTCACTACATCTTACAAAATCCAGAAATCCCACGTCTTGGGCCTTTTCTATACATTAGCCAGACTAGGTAACCTCAAGCAGCATCAGAGGCAGTGTCATTCCTCACATAGATGGAACTGCAGTGACCTTTCCCCCACACTACAGGTATCTTCCAAGTCCTATAAAACCCTCCCTGATCACCGTCTGCCACATCCTTCCTCCCTGGTCCCTGGGCACTTTCACTGACACGAGGTCTTCAGCTATTTTATTCTATTAAGAAATAACACTCTTGATGACTTAGGTGAGCTTGTCCCTAGTGACTTCCTAAGAGGGAGGGGAAAAGAATGATTAGGAGCACTCAACCTGGAGATCCACAAATGTGGTTAAGGAGAAGATGTGTGGGCAAATCTGAATTTGAGTCTCCTCATTCAAAATGACATATTTAATTGAGTACTGTTATGTGCTCGGTTCCCCATCAGGAAGTGCGATTCAGGTTGGCCAGCACAGAGCGGTCCAGGTCCCACCAACTAAAGGGCCTGCTGCTCCAACTAGGTGCATGGGCTGCTTTTATTTCAGATTCCACAGATCATAAAATGAGAATATGCTCTTTCTCAGGCCGCATATCAAGTATTTATGCTTGATTTATTTCATTCAGTCTGAGCCCATTTCAAATACAATAGGAAATCCTGTTTCAAAAAATATCTCTAATCAGGCTTACGTCCATGCTCCCCGCTTCATCCTGTCACCGTTCCCTCTCACCCAGAAACTGGAGTAGCTCTGAGGGGATGACCAGCTGCGGCCTATTTTCCAAAAATGAGCCAAAGCTGAAGTCTTTCTGGCCTCAGGACCTTTGCACTGCCTGTGCCCAGTGCCCGGAACCCTTTGCCCACAGGCACGTGCACTTCTCAAATGTCTGTGTGTATTCATATGGTTCCCTAATTTACATGTCATCTATTTAAGAGTAGTTTTTCTGATTTTCTTGATCAACTCGTATTTACACTTCTTGCAACTTTTATTTACTACATCTTAAAAAATCCAGAAACCCCACATCTTGGGCCTTTTCCACGTATCAGCTAGACTAGGCAGCCTCAAGCAGCATCAGAGGCAGTGTCTATGTGCAACGTCATGTGGCACAGAGTAGGAATTCACATGGCAGCTAATTGAGATAATGAATGAATGAATAACAACACATGCATATCATTAAGAAATAAAAAGGAAATGCCAGAAGAAACTACCTTGTTGGGAGAGCTGGAGGTGTTTGAGAACTTGATTTTTGCCTTTATTTTGTGCATGAAGTACTTAGAATATAAAACCAAAAATTTAAAAATATAAAAGTTATTCCAAAGAGGCAAAGCCATATAACATGAATCTTTAATTTTGGAAGCCACTGATCTGAAATTTTACTGACTTTAGATGTCATTTTACTCTACTTAAGAGTTAAACCATGAAAATTCTCAAGGATAATTCTTTCTTGTCTTTTTAAAAGAGTAATAGTGATGCCTACCTCTCCCTGCCATGAACTCTTTCTTCCACTTGCTGCCCCACTTGATGCCCAGTTCCTGGCCGTACTCATCCCCATACCAGACTAGCAGTTCACAGCCTGGCCTAATGACTCGGCAGGTTCTATAGAAGATCTGCCTGTGGTACTGGAAGGCCACAAGGTTCTGCTCCTCATCATCCCGGACACAGTTCACATATCTGGGGTCAAGGCAGCAAAGGGAAAGAAAAGAGGCAGTGAGTTCTCAGTATCTGTCAGATCCAGGTCTGGCCCATCACCTGCTGGTCTAGGCCTCCATGGTCTAGTGCTGACCACTCCCCCACCACTCCTCTGGGAGCCTTCTGTTCTTTCCTAAATCTCTTTCACAAGGTCATATTAACTTACGATTCTGACTACTGTGCTCATGCTGCCTGGAATGTGTCCCTGCCGTGCCTATTCAACCATTTTTTCAAAGCCCAACTCTGGACTTACCTCCACCTTGATTGACCATAAAACACATCAATGCCTGGATTCTCTAAACTCTAAATTAATTCTGTTTTATGCCACAGAACTTGGTGCTTGATCATGTACTCTGCTTCTAGATTAGCGTACATCATTTTACAATCAGCCCTAGTCCATCTTGCTTTGAGAGGCCTTCCTCAGTCACCCTACAGTTCACCCAGTTGCCTTTCACCTGCCTTCCCCAGGTTTCCAGAGAAACTTAGAAGCTCCTTTCTCTTGGTCCGATAACAGAACAGTAATAGTTTATTCATTTTTCTATTCTCTGGTAAAACGAGAGCCCATTGTGGAAAGGGGCTGGGTCATCCTGCAGCTCACATCTCCTTAGGCTTCGGTTTTAATTTTACTCAGGCCAGGAAGATTTGCTGCCCTCACAGATTAAAGGTCCTTTGTTTTGGGTTGTCTTGGTAATGTGTGCTTCTAAAAAAATAAGAAAATTGTGGTTAAATGTTCCTATAACCAAATGTTTCATGTCCGTCTACAATACATCCTCCACATAGGACATGGGTTGTATGATCTGTTCAAGTATGAACTTCAGTTCCTAACCTGGAACATACTAAGTGCTTAATAAATGTGGATTACATAAATTAAAGCATGAATGCAGTGTCCCCATGAATGTAGGCTTCTCAAGGTTTATCTTGGTGCCTCAATTTTATCTAGCATACAGATTTATGTTTTGATACCAATAAATCATAATATCTATATTTTTATCTTTTATTTCTAAATGTTGATGGTATAAAACAGCACTGTGTGGAGAAAATAGACACACAGAATGTGAAAATCATTGAGGGAGCCATGATGAGAAGGAAGGAAATCAGGGATTGTGAGAGAGGAAGGTTGGTTCTGAAACTCAGAGAGCTCCTGGCCTTACCTCATCCAGTTGGCCCGGGATTTATCCTTTCCATCCACATACTCATAGCTGTTTCTCCCTTTGGTGATCTGAGTTTCAGAAAAATAAGGTAAAGTCTTTTTAGAGAGTAAGAATCAGAAGAATTATTTTACTCCATTGTCATCAGTGGCCTTTGGGCCTGCATGGCTTCAACTGCCAGTTGAGACCACATGGTATGCGCCTTAGTCATCATCTACGCATCTGAGTTGATCTGTCGAGTCAGAGCAGAAGCCCCACAAGGGAGGATGCACTTGTTGTCTTTGTACCACTCTGCTCCCACATAACCTCTGATCTCTAAATAGAAGTTCCATGTTCATGCAAAGACCCTTGAGTACACAGAGCTAACCACGTTATCTCTGCCTGTAACCTAACGTGAAGATGGTGCTGTCCCAGCAAAGGCACAGAAGGAAATGTGGGAAGACAGAACGGGGAAACGGCAGGTAATTCTTACCAGCCAGGAGTATCCGCTGTTGGCTGCCTCTTCGTCTTCTGTAACTCGGCCCTCATAGGGTCCAAAGTGCAGACCCAGCGGCAGATCAGAGGCCTCATTCCATACTCCAAGCCCAGCCTGAGGGATGCCTGATGGCCCAATTCTAGCCCAGGGGGCAGGCTGAGGGCTGCATGGTTGGGATGCCCCTTGTCCACTGCACTGTCCTTCACAAATGTCGGGGGCCTATGAGCAGCACAGCTGTCAATGAAGAAGTTCTGACACATCTCACAATCTGGAAGTGAGGGCAGCAGGGATTAGGAAAGTTATAATCCAAGTTTCTTGATATAAGAGGTTCAGAAAGAGCTTGGCACTCACATTACTTAGCCCCAATCCTGTACTAACTCATTAGAGTAAGGGAATGATTTGGGGGCCAAATGATGAAATTATTGTACCAGGACATAACAGCCAACTGTGTGAGTGGCCGAAAGTGTCACTTACAGAGGTAGTCGTCATCCTGGGGCTCGCTGACCTCTTTGTATGCATGACCCTTTCTTTCTCGCAGGCTATACATCTTTCCTTCGGTCTCCTTCCTCCTGAGTTCTAGATTGGAGAAAAGGAAATGGGTAAAATTGGGAGTCTGGGGTGTCCGTCCCTGTTTCCTAAGAAAATGTGAAATCTCCTGCCATCAAATGAGCATCTACCTTGCTACATATTCTAGTCTCCCCCTCTTTACTGCTCCAGAGGGACTTAGACCCCACACCCGCGCTGACTGCAGATGCCTATTCAATTTTAGTTCTGGCCGTTCCCATTATCTCATTAACCACCCAACCTTTCTACTTGTAAAATGTTTCATTCATGCATTTATTCCTTCAGAAAATATTTCTTGAGGGCACATTACATCTTAGGCATTGAACAAAGCCTGGACATATAACACTAAGGAAATACGGTCTCTACAGGGGATCTTCTATAAACTAATAGACATTTGATGGAAGAGGAAATGTGGAAATGCACAAAGGAATATCTATTATCAGAGAGGTACTTATTGAACACTTTGCATGTATGAATTCATTTATATTTAATTATTTCAAACAATATATGAACTATATGTACTTGATCTCATTTTACAGATTACCATTCAAGAGCTCAGAGATTTTATGATTTGCCCAAGGCCCCAATGCTTCCATGTGGATTATAACCCAAGTGAGTGACTTCAAAGTTAATGTTCTTACATGCTATTCAATACTGTATCCAAGGCTGGACATGGTGGCTCAAGCCTGTAATCCCAGCATTTTGGGAGGCTGAGGTGAGCAGGTCACTTGACCAGGAGTTCAAAACCAGCCTGGCCAATATGGTGATACCCTGTCTCTACTAAAAATACAAAAATTAGCTGGGCTTGGTGGTGCATACCTATAATTGCTACTTGGGTGACTGAAGCATGAGAATTGTTATCACCTGGGAGGCAGAGGTTGCAGTGAACCCAAATCACACCACTGCACTCATCCTGGGTGACAGAGTGACACTTGGTCTCAGTGAAAAAATAAATAAATAATTTTAACAAAATGCTACATCTAACTTTTGGTCTCACAATTGAGTCCAGCTTAAGCCCAGGCTATCCAAAGTCTACCCCACATATGCAGACCATACTCATCAACCTTTCTAGAGGACATAGAGGGATTGAATTCCCCCTAAATATTTTTTCTTACCCGGTTTTAGTCTAGAGTGCTGTCCAGAGGTACTCGCTTCTCCAGGAGGGGACACTGGTTTCTGAGCCTGCTCTGAGCCACTTGTATTCAGTACATTTGCCGTTCCTGACAATTTCTTCAAACTAGATTCATTACTGAATGATGCCTTGGGCATTCCCTTGAATGTGAGTCACATAGTAAACAACAACATGCATTTCTTTAGTTCCTTAAGGCTTGCAACGTGTTTTCATATGCATGACTCTAGTTAATGCTTCAAACCTTGGAAATACCTGGAGTATCTAAATACTAGAGGGAAAAGAGAAGGACTAAGTGGGCAGTGAATCTGGGACTATAACCCATGTCTTAAGGCTCTTTCCTTCAACTTTCTCTCAAAATTCTCTATAGAAGTTAAAGGGAGGGAGGAAGAATACTTGGGAAGACTACCTGGAGAATCAACCTGGAGGTCTGTGAAAGAAGAGGGAAAGGGCTAACAGAGAGAAGGAGGCAATCTTCTATAAACTAGTAGACATTTGATGGAAGGGGAAATGTGGAAAAACACAGAAGGACAAGGCACATCTGGAAAATGAGGTAAAAGAGCAGTAAGGTTGGGAACAGAACAGAGATGATTGGCAAAAATGTATCTAGACAACTAAGAAAGTGATGTCAGAGTTGCACATTTGCCATATGCTGGAAAGAATATTTGGTTTTGGAATTAGTTCCTGTACCATCACTTGTCTGCTTGAATAAGGATGTATTGTTAGCTAATTCTCTTTAGTTTCCCAATCCAGAAATTGGCATACATGCTAATTTTTTTTTTTTTTTTTTTTTTTTTTTTTTTAAACTCTATTATTTTTTTTTTTTTTTTTTTTGAGAGGGAGTCTCATTCTGTTGCATAGGCTGGAGTGCACTGGCACGATCTCAACTCACTGCAGCCTCCGCCTCCCGTGTTCAAGAGATTCTCTGGCCTTAGCCTCCTGAGAAGCTGGGATTACCGGCACGTGCCACTACACCTGGCTAATACTTATTTTATTTTATTTTTTGGTGAAATGGAGTTTCATTCTGTCACCCAGTCTGGAGTGTTGTGGTGTGATCTTGGCTCACTGCAACCCCCACCTCCTGGGTTCAAGCAATTCTCCTGCCTCAGCCTCCCGGGTAGCTGGGACTACAGGTGTGCGCAACCACGCCCAGCTAATTTTTGTATTTTTATTAGATACAGGGTTTCGCTAGGTTGGGCAGGCTGGTCTCAAACTCCTCACCACAATTGATTTACCCATCTTGACCTCCCAAAGTGCTGGGATTATAGGTGTGCGCCACCGTGCCTGGCCCATGCTAATTAATTCTCTTTCTTTCTTTCTTTCTTTCTTTCTTTCTTTCTTTCTTTCTTTCTTTCTTTCTTTTCTTTCTTTCTTTTTTTTGAGAGGGAGGCTTGCTCTGTTGTGTAGGCTGGAGTGCAGTGGCACAATCTCAGCTTACTGCAGCCTCTACCTCCTGGATTCAAGCAATTCTTCTGCTTCAGCCTCCTGAGTAGCTGGGATTGCAGGCATCCACCACCACGCCCAGCTAATTTTTGTAGTTTTAGTAGAGATGGGGTTTCACCATATTGGCCAGTCTGGTCTCAAACTCCTGACCTCAGGTGATCTGCCCACCCTCACCTCCCAAAGTGCTGGGATGACAGGCATGAGCCACCAGGCCTGGTGCTAATTCTTAATATTATAGGGAATATGAAAGATAATAATGTTCACCAAAGTGTTTCATGAGCTACTTAATACAGTATGAATGTGAGAGTAATAATTTTTTTTGGCTGGGTGTGGTGGTGCACGCCTGTAATCCCAGTGCTTTGGGAGGCTGCGGCAGGTGGATCACCTAAGGTCAAGAGTTTAAGACCAGCCTGGCCAACCTCACCTCTACAAAAAATACAAAACACTAGCTGGGCATGGCGGTGGGTGCCTGTAATCCTAGCTATTCAGGAGGCTGAGGCAGGAGAATCACTTGAACCCAGGAGGTGGAGGTTGCAGTGAGCCAAGATCACATCACTGAACTCCAGCCTGGGTGACAAAAGTGAAACTCTGTCTCAATAAAATAAAATAAAATAAAATAAAATAAAATAAATAAAATAAATAATTCTTCTCACAGACTGGGTGTGGTGGCTCACATCTGTAATCTCAGCACTTTGGGAGGCTGAGGTGGAAGGATTGCTTGAGCCCAGGAGTTCAAGACCCGCATGAGCCACACGGCAAAACCCTTTCTGTACAAAAAATACAAACATTAGCCAGGTGTGGTGGTGCACGCTTGTGGTCCCAGCTACTCAGGAGGCTGAGGCGGCAGGATATCACTAACCTAGGAGATGGAGGTTGCAGTGAACTGAGATTGCGCCATTGCACTCCAGCATGGGTGAAAGAGTGAGACCCTGTCTCAAATCCCTGCCCCCCCAACAAACAAACAAACAAACAAATATTATCTCATAGTCCTGATATCATCTCTACAGTTGAAGTCTAACTCAAAGATATTTTCAGCACTCCTTGACCCTGTTACCTATAGTTTAATTCATAAATTTGGAATCAGTCATTCAGAAAACACTCAGGAGGCTCTCAGAGGCCCTGAGCCAGGCTTAGGAGTTCTGAGAAGAATCAGGTATGGACCAGACTCCTGAAGAGCTCACAGTGCAGAGGCAGCAGGCAGGCTAAACAAATGATTCCAAACAGCATAAGAGTTCCCTTACTGGAGCCCAGAGGAAGGAGCTGTTACTGCCTTCTACAGGAATGAGCATTTGAAATCAGCTCCAGAATATATTTTTTCTTAATAGGCTGTAACCTATATGAAGTCCTAAACAATTTTCTTGTTTGTTGTTTCTCAATCTTCAAACCTGAAACTCCTCAGGGCTGGAAGCTGCTTCCTCTGATCAGAATGGGTCCCTAATGAGGGGAGGGACCCTATCTCCTTCTGGGACCATCACAGTATGAACTGTCTATTTACTTGGAAGCTTCCCTTAATCAGAGTGTTTTAGTGCAAATCTCACTGTACTGTAACAGAGAAAAACTGAGGTTGAAAAGTCAGTTGAATGAATGATGCAAAGATATATGGGTAAGGCAGCATAAACTTTATAAAACTATGAAACTTTTAATGATCTTGTAAGTGCTTTAGAGAAAGAGTTTTGGATTAGACTGCATGTGATTCCAGGCATATAATTGAACATTTTTATACCTCAGTTTTCTCATCGAGAAAATGGTTATAGTTATAGCAGCTACTTAATAGGAACTATATGTAAAGTTGAATAGTATGATATGTGAAGTGTATTCATGTAAAATACTTAAAGTCTTAAATATTGAGAAAATAACACTACAGTGGTGATTATT